CTTCATTAGTACTAGAGCTACCTCTGACCGTCCTCCACTCTTCCCCAGTAGCATGTTGGACACTTTCCAACCTCAGGGCCTCATCTTCCAATGTCATCTCTTTTATCATTTTGATACTGTCCATTAGGTTTCCTTGGCAAAAATACTGAAATGGTTTGCCATTGCTTTCTCCAGTGAATTACCTTTTGTCAGCGTTATCCATTATGACCTTTCCATCTTGGGTAATCCTACATAGCATAGCTCATAGTTTCTTTTTCTTTTTTATTTTTCTGGATGAGGCAATTGGGGTTAAGTGACTTGTCCAGGGTCACACAACTAGTATGTGTCAAGTGTCTGGTCTGAGGCCGGATTTGAACTCAGGTCCTCCTGACTCCAGGCTAGGTGCTCTATCCATTGCGCCACCTACCTGCCCCATCATAGCTCATAGTTTCATTGATCTATGCAAACCCCTCTATCATAGTAAGGCATTGATCCAGGAGGAGAGAATAATTTATACAATGACAATAATATTGTAAAGATAAACTAATTTGAAAGATGTTAGAACTATCATCAATGCAGAGATCAACCATGACTTTATAGGACCAATGATGAAGTGTGCTACTTACCTCCAGAGGTGCTGGAATAAAAATGTAGAATGAGACATAACATTTTTGGACATGACCAATCCATGACTTTGTTTTGCTTGACTCTGCTTATTTATTGCAATGGTGTTTTTTCTGCCTTTATCCCTGATGGATCTGTGGGAGGAAAGGGCTAGTCATAGTATTGCAAAACAAACAAATAAACAAAAAAAAAAAAAAAAGAAACACAAAAACCTAAGAAAGAAAATATTTATTGAAGCATTTTAAAAGGAAATACACAAATGATAAGAGAAGAGAGTTTCAAGTGAGACATACAAGCAGTCTAGCGTTGAAATTCTCATGTTGAATTAATTATATACTTTAAAAGTTGAGCTATATGTAATAGAGATTTGTGGTTTCACATAGTGTCCTTTTTCTATTTTTTTGTTGTAGATGGAAGTGTTCATGTTTGTTGGTCAAGTTCAGAATAACAAAATTAAATGTAAAATTTAAAGAAGTCATGTGACTGAAATTTTAAAAAGTAATGGTTGCACAAACAAACAGATATATTTATATATCATTATTTCTTTTTAGATTCTTGGTCTTTTTCCTAGGATCAGGATGACTGAGACACGTAATAAAAAGGAACTCCTATGGACTACGGAGAGCTACTTAGAGGGAACAGTATTAGTTGAGATATGGTTCTCTTCTTTGCCTTTCTTGTCATGTACCATTGCCTTCCCTCCCGCCTTGAAAGATGCCAGCATCAAAAATGATAAACCCTCAAATGGCTCCTGATTAAATCATTTATTGGGTTTATAAGTCTTTGCTCCTTCATCAAAATACTGCTTTGTTGCCTCATTGGAGTATTTAAAGGAAAATGAGTTCTTAAAAGTTGTGTCAACAGAGCACATAGGATCTAGTATGTCCTAACAAAACTGGTGTACACCTTTTTCCTCAGTTAATATAGCATATGCCCTCTCCCCATTCCCCTAGCTCAGTAGAGTATAGGGTGTCCCAAAATTCTTATTGTAGTCTTAAGCTTTAATAACTTTAAACTGCACTAAGACTTTTGGGATACCCTGTGCCAACTCCTTAAAGGCAGAGATTTTTTGCTTGTTTGTTTGATGTTCTGTGGATCTAGAAAAGTGCTTTGTGTGTAGTAGATAATTATTAAGTGCTTTGTGGATTGCATTGGATATATTTTAAGTAAGTGATGAGATATACCTGCACAGGCAGTGGTAATAGATACTGAAGAAGCAGTCTTAGCAGATGTGGCTTCTCCAGACACATGCCATTGGAGGTAGGACAAGGTGTCTTTCTTAAATCGCTTCTTCCAGTACCTCAATCTCATTTTGATAGTGGCTGAAGGCTCTTCTAACCCACTTCATTCATGTTTTTCATTCTGTCTGTTTGCTCTTTCTTAACCCCAACAATTTGTTTGCCGGGGATCTAGCAGGGAATATTTGGTTGGAAGCTTGAATAGGAGTTATTTCTAATAAAAGAATACATGTAGCTCATCTCTATTCATAGTATGTAGCACACAGAAAGCAGAGCTTTGTTATCTGAATTTTTATAGCATAGTACTAGTTGAAAATAGGTAAAAAATTCTGGAGACACCTCATTATGTATATTTCTAAAACTGTCAAAATATGTGGTTTCCTTTTTACTAGTCATATAAATGGTTCCTGAAAACACCTGAAGTGCCCGTCTTTTTCTAAATGGTTAACTATGCAATTTGTTTTAAATACTAATCTTGAATGATTAAATAATTTGCACATTTCAGTACCATGAATTGAGGGCTAATAGAAGTACATTTTTGCAGTGAAATTATATCTTTTATGTACATTTTAAATATCCCGGGATGGTTCTAATTTTGTGGCTTTATTATTTCAATGTAATGTACCAAGTAATTTAAAAACATAACAACCAAATAATTTAAAATGATGTTACAAGGGGAAAAAAGTGGAAAATTATTTTAGTTAGAACACCAGCAGCAAATAGAAACATCTATATTAGTTAGGGAAGAAATGTTTGGTGATCCATTGTAGCGTTCACAGATTTTATACCTAGCTTGACCTGTAACTTTCTTTGTGGTCTTAAGAAAGACACTATTGTCAGTTCTCTAAAAAATACCATAATAACCGACAGGTCAAAGAGTATATAAGCCAGTTAGTAATCATTCTTTGGTTCTTCTTTTTCGTTCTTTTTTTTTTTTTAAATGGGATAGGTTTTCATAATTAGCCAGTTATGGATTTAGCTTGTGTGAGTAGTAGGTCATGAGACAATCAATATGTAAAGTAAGTAAACAGGGGATCCTTTTATCAACAACAGATTGCCATGTTGGTTCCAAGTAGGAAATATGACAAAGCCCATGGAGGGAAGGGGAAAGGAATAAACATTTATGTAAGACCTACTATGTGCCAGAAACTGTGCTAAGCATTTTACAAATATCACATTTGATCCTCACAGCAGCCTTGCAAAGTAGGTGCTGTTATTATCCCCATTTTACAGTTGAGGAAACTGAGGCAAGCAGAGGTTAAGTGATTTTCCCAAGATCACACAGGTAGTAAGTGCCTGAGGCCAGATTTGAACTCAGGTATTCCTGACTCCAGGTGTGGCACTGTATCCACTGCCTATGGATTGCAGTCATGGAGAAGATTGAATGAGGTGGTGCTCAAAGTGGGACTTAATTATAAGAGCATGACAGGAAACTCCAAAGAAGCCTACTGATATGGTTAGTATACCTTTCTTAGCTGTCTTTATCACAGTTTATATGCTGCATGAACTGAGAACCACTTGTTGACTTTGTCAGAGCAAATAAACAGAGTCAATGTTGTGTTTAGTGATCAGATCTACTATAAACACATTTTATTTGTTATGTGAAACAGCTATTTGGAGGACAGCTGTCCAATAAAGAGACACCTGTCTATCAGCCAAGTGTCCGTAGGCACAAAAAAATTTGGAGCAATGGCTCTGAAAAAGAAAGGAAAATAAGTCAAATATGTATTTTTATCATTAGATGGTCATAATAATTACTATTTAGCTCCAGGATGCGATGTAAGTATGATAAATTATGACAATCCTAACAGTAAATTTATAGAAATGGATCTAAATGCATCTGGTCATATAAGAAATATTGTTCATATCTTTTGATACCGTATAGTGTAGGCTGCTATTTGTACCTATGCCATTTAGTTTTGCTAATAATGAACCTAGTAATTTCAGCTGAGTTTCAGGCCTTACTTAATTTCAATTATTTGTGAATTCAATACCTGAATATTTTGCTTCTGCAATTTGAAAATTATGGTGTTTTTGATGTTATTCTTCTCATATCACACATAAACACACAGACCTACGCACATGCCACCCCCTAAAATTGAGCCGTCATCTCCTCAGTAAATATTCAGGGTACCTAGCAGCTTTTCTATTTGTTCAAAAATGTGGTTTAGTGCACATACAGAATGGGTTGGCATAAGTAGATGTATCTACGTTGTTGTCGTTCAATCATTTTTGACTCCTTGTGACTCCTTTTGGGGTTTTCTTGGCAAAGATACTGGAGTGGTTTGCCATTTCCTTCTCCAGATCATTTGACAGATGAGGAAACTAAGGCAAACAGAGTTAAATGACCTGCCCAGAGTCACACAGCTAGTAAATGTCTAAGGCTAGATTTGAACTCAGGAAGATGAGTCTTCCTGACTGCAGTCTTGGCACTCTACCCACTGTACCACCTAGCTGCCCCAGATTGTCTTTAGTCAACCTTTATTGTTCTGGAAGGCCAATAGAAAATCATCAAAATGTTTAAGTCCTCTGGGTGATTACACATCTAGGGTCCCTTTATTTTCCTATTTTTATTATTTCTAAAGCTCTCATTCCAGCTTCATTGTTTTTTCTCCCTGCCTTCTTTGCCCCCTAATGTTTTAAGAAATCTTTCAATATGAAACCCTGAACTCTTGTGGCAACAGAAAAACAAAGATGCATCATCCTCCTCCCAATGCCAGCTAAAGGTGCATTTCCAATCTCCTCTTCTTTATTAGTTAAACAAGGTTTTTAGGTTGGAATCTAACAACTCAAAGGTCTAACAGGATGCTGTGAGGTCTGCCTTTATTTAAACTCTGGAAAGTGAATTTGTACCTTTTAAATAAAAAGAAAAAGTGTGGCGTGGCATAAGGAATGTTGGATTTGGAGATAGGAAGGCTTGGGTTTAAGGCTGTCTCTAACACTTACAAACTGTGACCATGGACAGATCACCTAAACTCTCTGAGCTTCATTTTCTTCTTCTGTAAAATTAGGATTATAATATCTGTAGTACCTACCACATGGATTTCTTGAGGGTTAAAGGAGATGCTCAATGTAAAAATGTTTTGCTGATCTTAAGGCACTATATAAATGTCAGCTATCACAATCATTAAAAAGATTTACTTTTATTTCATCCTACAGGAACTTTTATCCGACGTCATCGGATTCCACTTCCGCACCCTAATGAGGATCAGTTTTATACAATACATGATTTCAATATCAACATAGACATTGTCCTTTATTCCCGAGTATTCAAGATTTATGACTGTGATCAGTTCACAAAAAATTTTCTGAGGAAAATGGGTATCGCGGTAAATCCCCCAGGATGTTGTCCAGCTGATCCTTATATGAAAGAGCGGAAAAAGGTGAGAGGTGACAAAGTTTTGAATTGAATTAAAATTGAAAACCTTTTTTCCTCCACTGAATTCACAGACACAGAATGTGTTATAAAAAAAATGTTGTAAACCCTGAAACGAATCAGAAGACTGCATGTTAGGTTAAATGTTACTTGAATATTGCCTCCCCTTTTGTTCATGAGGCTGCTATTTGGACGTCCTACTGAGTGCTCAAAGGAGTTAAGCCACCTCATTGCCTTACAGTGAAAACCTCTGATCCAGGGGCTTACCAGTGAGCAGCTTGGGGTTGGGAAAATTTATAGTAGCTTATACTTAACTTTGTGGGACAGAAGGATTCAGGATTTGGCCTGGCATATCTTTTTTTCCTATTATAGGGATAGATTGGGTTAACATTGGCTAGTTAAGGGATTCCTTTCCTCTCCTTTCAATTGCCAGGCCATGCTGGTTATAATGCAGTTTATGCTTGTCTGGATTTTACTATTTCAGAGCTGAGTACCCTTTATATATTGGACTGGTCTGGGCTTCCACAAAGACTCTGGGGGTAGAGGATTGAGTCTTCCTTTCTGACTATGGCAGGACTCAAATTGAAGGAGAAGGACACCAGCTGAAGAAGAAGAAGAAAAGAAGAGTTAGAAGATAGAAGACCACAGTATTCAGACCATGCATTGTGATACCACCCTGGGCACCTTAGCAAACTCACATGGGCACTGGAGAATATTTTACATTTTTTACCTCTTTGATAAGTGGCACTATTAGGTATTTCTTTTGGTCTAGGGGTACTATGAAAAAAATTACTGAGACTCCATTTAATGGAGAAAGTTTGCGACCCTCTGGAGAAGGAAATGGAAGGATCAGGGTAAAAGAAGATGAATGTGTCCTCTCAGCTTTTAACAACTAAGTGAGAAGAAGAAAAGGGACCATTCTGTAGTCAAAGACCCTCCCGTGGGGTTTGCCTTAGCATCCCTTCAAGAAGTTGACCTCAAGAGCTATTAGAAAGGAAGAAAATCTCAATTCTCTCAAGTAGGAAGAGCAGGAAGAGTATACAATATCCTGAGTAGAATGCCAACTCTAATCAGGGTTGAGAAGCTGCTTTGCTGGACTAGGGCACCTTCCATGGCATCACTTTTCCTCAGCAGTGCCCTCAAATTTGGTGGTATTTCCACAATCACAGGTCAGCTAATCACAGTCCTAAGAAATGGATGTTTCTAGTTCGGCAATTTCCTTGTGGGTTCAAGAGGTCCTGAGTCAGATGCTGACTGTCCATTAGGAAGAGATTTCCTTAACAGCATGCTTCTTGCAGGACAACATGACCACCAGCAGGATCATCCCATGACCATGGTGGGGCAAGTCAGGAGACTGGGACGCTGTGAATTGCTTCTATTGTGCAGGTCCAAGGCAAATGTGAAATTTTTGTTCAGTCCCACAAAATTATCTTTATCTTACAAGGGGAAGTATGATGACCAGAAAGAGGCTATTAGAGGTGTTTTGTTTTCTGTATTGTGTGTGCCTGTGAGTCTTTGGTATCTTAAGCATTTTCTGTGAAGAAAATAAAGTAATTCTGTACTTGATACTCATATTATACCTTGAGTACCTATTGCCTGCATTAAGACAAGATCCATACCTAAACTTTGCTTTAGGGATTTTTTAAGAGAAACTTCATGATGAGGGCAGGGCCGGTTAGAAAACCTAACCCACTTTGGGTTAGAACCTGGATTCTTGTAGCCCTGGAAATCCTTGTTGAGTCCATGGGCCATGGGCCACTGAAGTCACATTATTTATGCTCAGAGTATGGGCTGGTCTCTTCTCTGTGGGAAAAAATAAAATGGGCTCAAGATTAACGGGAAGAATGTAATGTTCCTTGAAAAATGGGAGAAGGACTTCATAGTGCCTGGCACACAGTGGGTGCTTTATTAATGTTTGTTGAATGAATAGATGAATTATTAAAAAAAAAAAGAAAATGGATCTGAAAGGAAAAAGGGGCCAGTAACCTGCGGCAAGAGGTTGGAGGCTAGAAGAATGTGACACAGATGAAATAAAAGGACGCCGGAATACTTCCTGAAGAGGAGGGAGCTAGATACTCTGATGTGGAAACTGATACCTTCCCTCCAAGAATTCATGATAGAAAGTCACAGGCACCATTAGGTGAGAGATCATGTGGAAAGCACCAGAGAGGGAGGAGTTGAGTAGTGCTGTCCTGAAGTAGTATATACCTGAAATTAGCAATAGAAATATCTGTAGGCTTTCTAAATCATGTTTCCGGGCTGTGATGAGAACTCCTACGATAGATGGCTATTGACTATTTTTTGTTGATCTGTGTGGGTACAAATACTACCGCTAGAATGAATCTAGAAAGCAATGTTAAATATGGCGAAGCCTTTAGTGAGAGCGTGAGGCTCTTATGGCACATGGGTGATATTTTCATCATTGCAAGGGCAAAAGGATGCAAAAGAAAAGTACAAGTGGGAAGCAAACAGCTTATTAATAAGTCTCTGAGAACTGGATTTGGATTTCTTTGATCACAGATTAAAATATGGGTATGACAGACTCATGCAGTTATCACTGAGGTATGGGAAGATGGAACCCATGACTGGAATATGGCTCTTTATTCAAAAGAAATAGGATAGGCCAAATGTGGGGAGAGGTGGAGTGGCATTGTATATTCAATCTTAGATAAGGAAATCCAAGCAGGGAGGCATGGTGAAAAGCAGCGGACAAAGAAGCAGAAGCAATATGCATTTGAACACCTGGATGCTAAAAGAAAACTGATGAGTTTGGGAAATGTTTTTCAGGGAGACAAATTTGAGACATAGTAAAATGAAATCCATCTGGTTGTTTCTCACCCATGGCCTTCCATTTCCTGTATTTCTGCCTTTGTACAGATTGTCTCCCATACCTAGAATGTACTTTCTCCTCCCTACCATCTCTTAGAGTCCCTAGATTCCTTCAGGACTTATTTTAAACCCCACATTTGACATGTCGTCTCAGCGGCTAATACCACCTTCCCCAAATTACCCTGTATCTAGTTTGTATATGCCAATATATGTATATGTTATCTCCACTGGCTAGACTGAGTTCTACGAGGGATGATTCTCCTTTCTCCTTTGTTTTTGTATTCCTACTATCTCATATGTTGCCTGACATATAGTAGGCACATAATAAATGCTTAGTTGATTGAATCATAATTGGAATATGGCTGTGGAAGGTAAATTATCTTAAAGATAGATAAAAGGAGTAGGTGAGTGAAACGGCATCGAACATTAAGAGGATATAATCATATGAGGAACGGCTAATAGGGTATTGCAATCCAGGATAAGTAGGGAGATAGTCAGAGAGCACCTAGTTTGTCTTTTATCAGTTCAAGTAACAAGACTCAGATGATCTGCATTTCATAGTACTGGAATAAGTGTTAAAAATGACTTCTGAGTCATCTTTGAAATTCTTAAAAATTGACATCTTTTGCTTTTATATTGCCTAGATTTCCCTCTATATTCCCATTTCCCCATCCCAAGAGCCTGCAAAGATTTTTTTTAAAGAAGAGAATAAACAATTCAGAGAAATTGATCAACACCCTAAAACAAACAAATAAAAAAACAAAAAACCCAACCCTGACTTTATATACAATCTTCCACACATCTGGACACCTCTTCATCCCTCCTTGCAAGGGATCAGAGTGATATGTCTTCTCATCTCTCTTATTCTGAGACCAAACTTGTTCTTTATAATTTTGCAACATCAGATTTCTTCGTAAAATTGATGAGAATCAGAGAGGTGTCGAAGGACCAGAGAAGGGCAAATGATGTCCAGATTTTCCAAAAATGAATATAGAGTGGAGTCTAAAAAGCATAAGCCAGCAAGCTTAAATTCAGATTCCTGGTAGAATTCTAGAATTTATTAATTATTAATTTATTATAGACTTCATTAATTATTAATCTCTTAAATATATGGTTCTTGAACATCAAAAAGGGATTCAGTGATCACAAAGGGCATGTTTTCTTCAAAAACAGGTTATTTGGGACCACCTTTATTCATTTGTTTTTTCTATTAAGCTGGTAGTGCATAATTTACCCACATTTGAATAAAGCATTTGACAAGGTCTTTGGACCTCTAGTTATATTCTTAAAATAAGGCTAGGTAGCTATTTAGGGGACTACTCAGGGATGATGAGAGGGGATAGTTGGTCAGATATGTGCTGAACTAGATGTCCTATAAGGGAATTCTTTTCCAAATCTTAGATTCTATGATTTTTGTAAGGCTGCTCTTTTGTAAAGCTTGATCCTGGTGAAATGAAAGGAGAAAAGGTTCAGTCTTTTTTCAACACTTATTTAGTAACTTAGGGAAATTTTTCAAGAATTTAGAATGTAAATTCTATTGTTATTATACTTTGATCTCCTGTCAAGGCTTGTTCATTTATCACTACCTTTCCCACCCGCTCCCCCCCATACACATCCCACCAGTATTATTCATCAGTGATGTGCATGCACAGATAACTCCCACAAGGCGTATTTATTGTTAATGAAGAGTATTTAATGTGAAATCTTTGTGGAATCAGATTTGTCTGTATTTTTGTATGTGTTGATTCATATGCTTTGTATGTGTGTGTGTGTGTGTTTGTGTGTGTGTGTGTGTGTGTGTGTGTGTGTGAATCCTCTGAATGAGACTAGATAAATACAAAATATTCCTGTTGCCATTTTTTTAGGGTCAATAGAGAGAACCAAATAGAAATTTAAATCCATGTGAATTCCTGTCTTTTGTATATACCTTGCCCTCATTAACTAATAGTACTTAGTGTTAGACTGTAGTGAATGTGAATTATGAAGGAGTGCATGACATATGTGGAACAATGTTCTACTGAATAGCTTTATAAGAAAAAAATCTATTTAGGGCTAGTAACTAAATAAATTCTAGAAATAATCAGAAAATGTTTCAGACACTTTACTTTCAGATGGCAAGAATAATTTGAGTATCCACCACTTCAGAATTTAAAAAAAAAAACATTCAATGTAGCAATT